AGGAAGGAAGGAAGGAAGGAAGGAAGGAAGGAAGGAAGGAAGGAAGGAAGGAAGATTCCAGCCACAGTTTTTACATTCTGGCTCTGGCTGTTTCTAGAAAGTGGTTCATAAAGAATAGGGTGCTGCTATTCACTCTTTTGTCTCTAACAGATTTTTTTAATGATAAGTGGGGGGAGAAGATGGAATAAGTAGTGAGAAAACACAAAAATTACATGTAGAAGATAAGGCGTTTTGGTTCCCTGCAAAAAAAATTGTGTTTGAGTTATGGCAATGGCATATAAAATGCCTTATCTGGAAAACACCCCCAAACCACATCATCTATCCATCATTGCTTATTAAACTACATTTACCTCTCCCTCCCAAGAGATAGTTCTAAGTGCAAGAAAAAATAAATCACAAGAGTAAAAATATTGCAGTCTTTCTTGTGTGTATGTTGTGTTATTTGCTACTGCATCTCTCATGTCTGTCTCTGCATGTGTGCAGGGAGATAAGTGAGACGTTTTAAGATGTGCACCTGCTTCCCATTGTCAGATGTCAAAAAGTAACTGGGACACAGCAAGATTCTGCAGCGACAGGGTATCGACAAACGGTTCAACAATCACTCGATAGCCAACTTATCTACTTCTGAGGACAACCACCTCCTTTTGCAAATGAACACCGTCAGATCTGACATACCCTCCGTGAAAGAACTGGAATGTCGTATAGACAGCTGTAGGATGGAATTAAATGCACTAGATGAAGTGTGGCCCAATATTTTTATAGGTAACATGTAAGTATTATCCGGAAGAAAGTATTGATTGAATGGGGTAAACAGTATTTACAGAGCCAACTATCTTGCAATGCAAAAGTGTTCAGTGCCTGAAGAAAACCTGTTGTTGAAGGATAAATGCATACACTTTAAAATACCACTGTTTAGCTCTCTTTCAAGCAGACTAGGAATTTGGAGTTAGCTTTCAAAATAAAAAGCAGAAAATGAAAAATCTCTATATTATATTACTAGCACAAATATACAGGGCAAGAAAAGGCAATCAGCACATACAATAATGTTTTATGCATGCATCAGTTGCAACAATTTCTAAATATGTCAAGGGAATCCATTGAGTTTATATCTGTACATTGCATGTACTGTGTATTGTACCCGTCTGAGATGCTTTCTCAAATTACATTTCTGCCCGGGACTCAGATTTCTTTTATTGTCTTCGTTGCAACTCTTCCTTCTGTTCCTCCAAGTTATTCCTACTGCCCATTACAAGAGATCAATAACTATGAGCCCTTCTGGAAGTATGGAAGATTGCAACCTGAAGTGTGAGAAGATTAAATTTGTAAAGAATGAAAAGGAAAGGAAAAACATGAAATTAAGAATGAAAAAGAAAAGAAAAATATATATCTTATTTGTGAAACTCAGAGAAAAGGGAAGGATAGAATAGAACTGAATGAATGAAGGGTTCATGAATGCATGCAGGAAAGAAAAGCTGTAGTCTTAATTATAAATGAAAAGACTAAAATATATGTCAGAAAATATGAATCGGAGTCATCTCAAATGTTGTGGATACATATGAAAGTAGGGATTTAAAGGCTGGTGACAGTGGCATGTAACACTCCAGGGAATGTTGATAACAGAAGAACCAGTGATGAGTTTTGGGGAAAAAATGAGTAACATTCTGAATACATGCAATTCAGGGAGAACATTATTCTGCTGGGGGCCATGAAAGAATGGGTGAGAATGAGATGAGAGAAAACAGAAAATGTGACTGGGTCATTCAGAGGTTTAGGATCAAAAAAGCCTGGTGATGATTTGGTTAGAAAAATGTCTGTTTTGAAGATGTGAGCTACACATAAGTCTATATGCATACACATGTCAAGGAATGGATAGGAAAACATGACTGATTTTATTGCTTATTGTGAAAGATTGAAAGAATTAGTGAGGCAGGTGAAAGAGTGATTCTGAAGGTGAAACAGACCATTGTTTGATTTTGTCAAGAAAGCATCTTGTGAAAAAGAACTGGATATGGAAGAAAAGGAAAGAAGTGAAAGAAACTAGAGTGAAAGTAGAATGACTGCTGGAAGAGAAACTGTAGAAGATAGGTTAACTACTAGAAGGTAGTTTAATTTCCCAACAAAATGAATGGAAAGTGGACGTAAGGAGAGAGGTTGTAGAAGATGCTTGCAACAGAGTGAAAAGAAACACATTACAGAGCACCACAATGGCAAGTATGAGAAAAAAATGCTTGGTGGAATGATGAAGGGGAAAAGGCTGTAAATGAAAAAAATGCGTGTAAAGAGAATGGTCCCTACAAAAAATTAGAGGGAAGGAAATATATTGTATAATGTATGTAGAAAAAGAAGATGCAAAGACTGTAGTCAAAGAGAGCAAGGAAGAATTAAGATTAAAAAGACACAGAAATGCAAAGTGATTTTGATGGAATTTTTTCTAAGAAAATCTGTTTGGGGAGTGATGAAGAGGGCAACTAGGAGCCTTCAGCAAAATGAATGGAATTAAAAATAAAAGTGATGAGATTATCTGAAACTGAAGAAAGGGAACTCTAGGAGTATTTTACAGATTTGCAGAGAATTACAGAGACATCAAAGAGTGGAATTGAAACAAATGCTATAAATGTTAGTGCCTTAGGGAAAAAAATGAATGAAAAGGAAATCATAAATGCTGTGAGCATGTTGAAAAATGCTAAGGCTGCAAGTGTAGATGGTGTAACTGAAGAACTGTAAAATTATGGATGTGGTTTGCTCATGGAATGGTTGTGCAACTTGTTTAACATACGTGTAAAAACTGCATCCATTCCTCATGATTGGAATACTGATATTATGTATTCCATAAACAGGAACAATCGTGAAAGCAAAGCCTTCTAGTTTCTTAAGTGTTCCTGGAACGTTTTTGGGTGGAATTTTGACTGAAAGGGTACCTGAGGTAACAGTCAGTGAAGTTGGCAAGGGCACTTCAGCTTTATTCTGGGCAGGGAATGTGCATATCTGATTTTTGCTTTTTACCAGATCATTGAGAACTAGATGAACGTGAGTGTGAAAGTTTGCTATTTTTTTTTAAATTAAAGAAAGCAGCGATAAAGTGAATAGGCTTGAATTATGGAATGTTTTATGCAAATATGCAGGTTGATTGCTGAATGCAAGGAGTGATACAGGACTGAAGTAAAGCAGCATGAGAATAAACTGAAATCTTTGTGAATGATTCAACAGTGATTAAGAGTGATTTGTAATGTCCCCCTTTGTGAATTTTAGATTGTATGATACAAGAAGGAATATTTAATGTATCAAACACCAAGATAGATATGTTGGACAGAGAAAATTGAATGAACAAAAAAAAAATTAATGAATGAAAAAAAAAATAGAGCAAGTGGGTGAATTTATGAACCCTATAATATATTTATTAAAGATGGGGAAATGGATGGAGAAATGCAAAGGCATGCAAAATACAGTGCAAAGATTGTAGATAGTATGTGGTCTGTTGGAAGGAAAGAAGGAAATGGGTCTGTATAAAGGCAAGCTTTTGCCCATGTTGATATATGAAGTGAAAGTTGGATATGCCAGGAAAAATATAAAAACAAGTTGAATACAGGGGAAATGGGAGACAGATTGGTGTTCACACTCTATTCCACTCTCACCTTGCCCTCCCAATTTCCATACCTGTTTCTGTGCAGGATAGTGGCGCATAACAAGGTGGAGCTGAGGCAACTTGGCATCAGCCACATACTGAACGCAGCCCATAACACTTGGGGGAGCAAAGGAAATCAGACCTTCTATGGCTCAGAGATCTCCTATCATGGCATAGCAGCAGAGGACTCTGTCGATTTTGACCTCAGTGTCTATTTTCATCCGGCCTCAGAATACATCCACAAAGCACTAAGAGCCCCAAAAGGTGAGTGCCAGTCCTTACAGAAACATCCAGGAACGAAATCTTCGTTTCATGTAGAAATCCTTGGACCGCATCCAGAATTTGAAGCACTAATAGCTCTACAACATTCTCTCTAACTCTAGAGACCTGTTGCTCATAAAGTTTCATCTCGGCACTCAGATCCTTGACTATCAGGCTGAAATTCTGTATCAGGAAAGGACTAAACAAAAAAATTGCTCCACAGATGGCGTTATTAGCCATGTCAGCTGGAAATGTGGGTAACTAACTGCAGTTTAACACAACAGGGGAAGGCTATCTCAAAACCAAACCAAAATCACCCTTTCTAATATTGTCCTCTTCCTTCTCCCCCTTTACAGGAAAGATCTTGGTTCATTGCATTCTAGGCAAGAGCAGATCAGCAACTTTGGTTCTGGCTTATCTGATGATTTACCAGAACTTGTCTCTGGCTGATGCTGTTGAAAAGGTTCTGCAGCATCGAGCAATTTCCCCAAACTGTGGTTTCCTAAAACAGCTTCAAGATCTAGACCTGGAACTGCGGTACAAGAAAATCCTGTGTCAACTTTTGTGATGTGAAGAAAGGAAGAAAATTAAATGAGAACTTTGATAAGAGATTTTTAAAAGATCCTTGCAGTCTTATCACCACCTCAGCTTCTTCTTGAGCAGACTTTGCAAAGCTTCTATTTCAACAGACAGGAGAGCCCAGGAAGGTTTCCAGAGAGCCACCAAATGCTTTTCTCTGACCCACCCTTCTATCCCCACAGCAGCTACTCAGGTACCTGTGGGGAGGACCCAGGCAGGACAGGAGGAAGAATAACACCTTCTCAATTGTCTTCTCCTATGAGTGAGATTCAGAAATCTAGAGTCTCTGTACTAGTTAGTAATTAAAGAAAGCCTCATTCTCTTGAAATGTAGATCCCTTGGTAATCTAGAATACATGAGGTTATTAATTAAGCATTTCTGGATTTCTTTTAGGGAAACTGCATATGTACCTTGTAACATTAAGAAGAAAAAGAAGTATTTGATCCTGCTTTTGGATTCTTCAGACATAGCACTTCATTTGTAGTCTTCAACAGTTCTGTAAGACCTCACAGAGAGAGAGAGAGAAAAGGAGAGGATGAAAACAACTTGCTTGTCTTATCACTACTAAGTCTTCTTTCTTTGGGGCATACACAACAATATGTTCTTGTCTGGAAAGGTTAATTCTTCACTTCTCCTTCCTGTTGTCATTCAGAAGACAGGAATGCACATGTTTGGAAAGCTAATAGGTTAAAAGCCAACCATTCCCATTTGACTAGAGTAAGAAAATGTGTCGTGATTTTTAAAAATCAAGACTCCTGATTTTTAGCAGAAGGGAGAAACAGCTGTGCCTGCTTCAACCTGTAAACATCAGGCATCTCATTTTGGAGGGGAGGGGTTCAGCTGAGCAGGAATGGTGTCAACAGCAGCTCTGCTTCTCTTCCCTTTACTCCCTCCCTCCAGCCACAACTGGCTTTGCCATCACCATGAACTGGAATCACGTGGATTCACAATACTGCTACAGTATGTACCTGTTTTCACCTGACAATACAAACCATTCTGGATCATTTGAGAGATTTCTTTTTAATCCGTTCAATCGTGCCCAATTCTTGGAGAATGCCTGGACAAGTCCCTGCAGTTTTCTTGGGTTTTTTTTTCCAGAAATGGTTTGCCATTGCCTGCTTCCTAGGGCTGAGAGAAAATGACTGGCCCAAGGTCACCCAGCTGCCTTTGTGCCTAGGCAGGACTAGAATTCAGAGTCTCCTGGTTTCTAGCCTGATGCTTTAACCACTACACCAAACTGGCTTTATTTGAGGGATACTTACCAGCAATTGGTGAACTCATAGCCCAAAGTGGGCAGAGCCCCACCACCACTCCA